ATGGTGGGAACAGTGGGGACAGTGGGACAGTGGTGGGGACGGCGGTGGTGGGGACAGTGGCGTGGGGATAGTGGGAATGTGGTGGAAACAGTGGGACAGTGGATGGTACAGTGGTGGTGCCGACAGTGCTGAGGGCGTTGGCGAGGACGGCGGTGGGATAATGGGACAGAGGTACAGTGGGGACAGTGGTGGGGACAGTGGGGACAGTGGTGGGAACAGTGGGACAGCTCAGTGGGACAGCGGCGGGGACAGTGGGACAGTGGGACAGTGGTGACAGTGGGACAGTGGTTGGGGCCGTGGAGAAAGTGGGGAGAGTTGAACCGTGGTGGGAACAGTGCTGGGGACAGTGGGGAGAGTGCGACTGTGGTGGGGGCACCGGTGAGGACAGTGGTGACGGTGGTGGGAACAGTGGGGACAGTGGCGGTGAGGACAGTGGTGCTGGGGACAGCAGTGGGGGATGTGGTGCGGACGGTGGTAGGGGCCCAGAGTTGTTTGCTGGTGGTGAGCGGGGGGGGGGGGGGGTTCGAACCAGTAGTGACCCCCTCGGGGGTTCGAACCGGTAGTGACCCCCCCGGTTTTCGAGAAGCGGGGGGCAGTAGTGATCCCCCCCCCGGTTTTCGAGGGGGGAGGGGAGGGAGGGGGGGATTCGAACCGGTAGTGACCCCCCCCCGGTTTTCCGGAGGGGGGGGGGTTCGAACGGGGGGGTGTTCGAACCGGAGTGACTCTCTATGGTTTTCTTGTGGGGGGGAGGGGTTCGAACCGGTAGTGGCCCCCTCCTGTTTTCCGAGAGGGGGGGGCGGAGGGGGGGTACCCCTCCCGGTTTTCCGGAGGGGGGGGGTTTTGCGGGGGGGGATCCAGCAGGGGGGGCGGGATTTTCGGAGGGGGGGGGGATACCCCCGAGTTCCAGAGGAAGTGGGGGGGAATTTTCCACATTAAAGCGGCGGTGGATCACGCTCTCTCCCTGACCCGGATGTGGGCGCAGGATTCTGCAGGATTCTTGCAGGATCCTGCAAGGCCTGACTAACCCTGGTTTGTATTGACCTGGGTCTGTAGATCCCAGAAGATCTCGGAGGCCGCGTTATGGGGGGGTGATAAATGGGGGGGGCAACGACCCCCCCCCATGTACCGCTTGCCCACTGATTTGCGCCCAAGGATCGCGCTGCATCACCGACGCATCGGCAGCGCGGCTCGATGTGGATCCCGACTGTGTCCACGCTGACGACGCCGACGTACCACCAACGTCGTTGACGCATCGGCGATGCATCGGCGATGCGGCGCGATCCTCTGACACCATCTACGCGGACCCCAGTTGGGAGGCCTACAGCACCGAACACATCGAAACGCCAGATGTCTCGAGACGGCGTCGGCGACAGCAGCGACCGACGGTCGAGGCTTCGCGGCGTCGGCCCCAGGCCTCCGACGGCTATAGCGACGTCTCCCGGCGTGAACCCCTGGAGGTCTGGGCAGTTTCCCTGGGACCGACGCTTCATCCCGAGCCGTTTTTTTGAGTGACAGTCCCCGGGAAGGCCCCCTGGGGGAGGGGGGGGGGTTCGAGCCGGTTGTGACCCCTCCCGGTTTTCGAGGGGGGGGGGGGGCAGTGGGAATGTGGTGGAAACAGTGGGTCAGTGGAGGGTACAGTGGTGGTTGCGCAAGTGGTGAGGGCGGTGGCGAGGACGGCGGTGGGATAACGGGACAGTCCCCGGGAAGGCCCCCTAGGTGCCGAGAACGGGTGCAAAGTTTGTGTCGTGGCTCCTTCGCAGAGAGAGTCTGGTTGTGGGGTTCCTTGAGGTTCCGAACTCATCACTCACCGATGCTTCATCTTAGTCGTTGCTCGGTCGTACAGTTCAGCCGGGCCTGTCCCTCTACAGGGGGAATATCCGAAAATAGTCAAACAAAAAGTATGGGGATTTCTTGTTGGAGTAGTTGCTCGACCATTTTTGAATATTTTTGGGGTATTGTGTGGCTTCGGAAGTCACCCTTTGGGGGGACACGCTCGACCTAATCGTACAGCTGGCGCGAGGGTCAACATCAACCCTGGCGCTGGAGGGACACCGTGACTTTGTGTTCGTGCTTGGGCTTCCGCGCCCTGCAGTGTTCTTCGTCTTGGGGCGTCTCGATGGGGCCTTTGGCGAAGGGCTTCCTTCGGGTTGACTCAAAAGGGGGTCCAGCGACAGTGGAGCGGTGCAATAGATTTGGTGCAATAGATTTGTGGGGTTGCAAACATTCCGGGGCGCAGCTGTATTGCTGGATTTTCGCGTGCAATACATAGGTTGCAACACAATGCAATACAAGTTTCCGGCGCAATGCTTTTGCAATACAATTCCACCAAATCTATTGCACCAACCCATTTCAGCTGGACCCCCTTTTGGGTCACCCAAATTCCTGCTTTTGACCCACGTTCGGCATCACCCAAGCATTGGTACCGATACTAGTCGAGAGGCCTTACGGCCGGTGCCGCCGACCCTGAACGACGACGACGGACCCCGGGTCGAGCACCTCGGGCGCCCGCGGGCGTCGACGAGGCCGAGCTTGACGACGGCGACGAAAACCACGACGACGACGTCGACCGACGACGTCGACCGACGACGACGATCGACGACCGACGACGACGACCGACGACGACGACGAACGACGACGACGATCGACGACGACGATCGACGATGACGACGATCGACGACGACGACGACGACGATCGACGACGACGACGAAGCATCGGTACTTGTGCTATGTGGGCGTCAGCCCGCAAGGGGCGACGCACACGCTCGGGCAGCTTCTGCAGCAGAGGAGTTCCGCGGTCGGGCCACGCCGCTCGGGTTTTGGTCGGCCACGCGCCTCCAGGTGGGGGGAGCACGCGATGCCAGGATCGGGCCGAACGAAAGGGGGGGATATAGGGAAGGGGGGGGGTGCGACATTTGCTGCATGCAGCTGGTTTCGGCCCCACTGAGGGGCCCCTCGATACATAGCCGCCTCCGGCGCCGGGAGGCGCCGGGAAAATCAGCTACGTGAGCCGATTCTCAACCCCCCCTTTGCTATCCCCCCCTTTCGCCCGACCCGACAGGAGCACAGCAAGATGCATGGACACTGGCAGGCTCAAGTCGGGCTTGGCCCTCCACAGGAGGAATATTCAGAAATAGGCAAAGAAATCGCCGGGGGACGATTTGTTTTACTATAGTTGAAGGTGTTTGGCATACTTGTTGGGGTATGTTTTATTCTTCGTCCAGAATCCGCCTGTGAGGGGACACGCCCGACCTAGTGGTAGGCCGACCCTTCCAAATCAAGGGTACCCTTGTGTCCCTGTTGCGCGACCCATGCCTTCTCCATTCCTATAGCAACGTGGCCCTCGGAAGGGTCTGGTGTTCTCTCTCGCGCGTCCTCTCCAGTCAAGACCGACTGCACCGCTTGGATGACGATGCGTTGTATCCAGTACGGTCTGTCACACGCCTCCAATGGGTGGCGCATAGTTTTAAGTCGAGCCTGTCCCTCTACAGGAGGGATATGGAAAAATAGTAGAAACATACCCTGGACATGTTTTTTGTTGTGCTATTTATTTTCTCAAGATTTGTATATGTTTGTTGTTGTTGTTGTTGTTGTTGTTGGTGGTGGTGGTGGTGTTGGTGTTGGTGTTGTTGTTGTTGTTGTTGTTGTTGTTGTTGTTGTTGTTGTTGTTGTTGTGTTCTTTATTTGTTTGCCAAAATCAGCCTGTACGGGGACACGCCCAACCTAATGGTAGGCCGACCCTTCCCAATCAAGGTTACCCTTGTGTCCTCTGTGGCGCGATCCATGCCTTCGTTGATTTCCTGTGGCAATGTGGCCCTCGGAGGGGTCTTGTATTCTCTCTCGCGCGTCCTCTCCAGTCAAGGCCGACTGTACCGCTTGGGTGACGATGCGTTGTGTACAGTGTACAGTACGGTCTGTCACACGCCTCCGGAGGATGGTACACAGCTCGAGGAACACAACAGCATGCATAAGCATGAATTGTCGCAGGTCCGCGCTGATGTCTTGGATTGGCGCCTGCCCCCCCCCACTTCCCTGACGCGCTTGACGCGCTCAGCAGGGGCTCCAGCGCAGATCCGAGAAATCCGCGCGGCCCCTCGAAAGTCCACCGCTCATGCCGTCTTTGAAGTTCTCGCATAATACTCGGCTCGTGTTCGCAGGTCGGCTCGTGGGTTGCGCCAGGGTTGCCTGGTGACTCTTTGAATCACAGGGCAGTCGAGATTGTGCAGTGTAGAGCTGGAGTTAGTTTGCTTGGGTGGGGGGGGGAAATCTAATCATTTTTGACACAAAGAATGGTCCTAGAGTTCTTGGGTGAGGTCTTGTGCGGGATGTCTTGTGCGGTCTTGTGTTGGCTCTGTCTTGTGCGAGGTCTTGGCCACGCTGGCTGACTCGTACTCGCACATCTGTTGGACAAACAAGTCGTCGTGTGCGCGTCTTGTGCGCGACCACTCCTCGCCCGACCGCTGTTTTTGTTCAAGATACTAATATTAAGTCGGGCCTGTCCCTCTACAGGAGGAATATTCAAAACTAGTCAAAACATAGTCTGGGGACGATGCTCCGACTGTGTTTGAGCATTGTTGGGGCGTATTTTTGTTGCGTTCTCAGAGCGTTCCTTCTGGCTGGGGCTGTCTTGCTTCGACACACCGGCCTCACGTTCTGAGATCACTGCTGCTTCGCCCTTGGCATCGCTCGGACGTGTGCTTTTTTCCTTCGGCGAGGGCCATCGAGGAGCATCCTTGATCATTTGGCGAAAAAAATCACGCACGAAACCGACAAAAACACAGGGAATGGACGTCCGAGCGATGGCGAGCGCCACGAGAACACCGCTGGGCTCCGAGAACGCCTCGTGGCAGGCCTGGCAGGCCTGCAGGGCATGCCCTGGGACGGCCGGCCCCCGCTCGAGCGGGAGGGCGCCGTCGCGCACGAGACGGCGCGGAGGCGCCCTCCCCGCGCGCGACGCGGGCCGCGCGGCCCCGCGGCGGCGGCGGCGGCGGAGGATCCGAGCGCCTCGAGGTGCTCGGGCCGCGCGCGCCCGCGGGGCCGCGCGCGCCCCCCCCCCTCGGGAGCAAGGTCACGACCGCGACACCACCCCCGCAGTACGGATGCCAATGTATTTTCGCTACTCGTGGCGCGAAGTCTGCCTCGGGGCCCAGATGTGCCGACTTCGGGGGGGCCGTGAGGCAGGGCGGGTGTCGATGTTCAGCTGCCCACCCCCGGCGCCAGCCTGGGCCGCCCGCGATGCGCGCGCATGTGCGGCCCGCGGTGCCGCGCGGCCCGCGCGGCGTGGGGCCCCGCGTGCGCTCGCCGGCGCCTGGCAGAGGTGCGCGCCCCGGGCATATGATCGCGTCGGGGAGGGAGCAGGACGTGGCTCACGTCCTGAGAGTGGCCAGAAGCCTCAGAAGTTTGTAGGCCGAGAGTGGCCAAACACCTCCGAGGTTTTTGGCCATTTTCGGCCTCGGGGGGGCCTCGCCGGGCCTCGGGGCCGTCAGAAAACGAGGCAGGATGAAGAACCGGTCCCGGGGAAAGGGTCGGGACTTCCAGGGACCCCGTACGGAAAAAATCCGGACGTCGCATGTCTGGGGCCGTGTCAGGCAGCAGACGGCGGCGGCGACAACGGCAGGGCTCTCCATTGCGACTCCTCCGGTGCGAGGCGGTGCGGTGTCGACGGCTTCCGATGGCGATTCGGGTCGACTATTGGGATGCCAATGTGGGTGCCGACTCTTTTCTTGGAGGCGTACTAGCCTGCCAGTTTCCGCCCGATCCGACTCGTCGATTCAATCCTGGGCTTTCCTGCAGCGGCGGCGGAGTCGACAACGACGACGGCGACGGCGACCACGACGTTGGCGGCGGCGGCGGCGGCGGCCCTGGGCGGCGACGACGGTGACGACGACGCATGGCGACGGCGACGACCACGACCGCGTCGACGGCGGTGGTGGTGTCGTCGACTTGGAGGGCGGCGGCGGCGGTGTCGTCACGATGTTGCAAGTTCCCTGCGACGTCAGATCTCAGAGGGGGGTTCCGACCCATGCTTCGGATCCAGTTCTGACGGCCTTGAGGCCTGAAAACCCTTGGATACCGAGATTGAACTGATGCGCCGTGGTTGAACAAAACACTAGAAATTGCAGCGCTGTGCTGATCCATGCTGTGCCGTGCTGTGCTGAACTGCGCTGTAGCATAATGCATTGGATTGTGCTGTACTCTCTTGCGTGGTGGATCCTTTCGGCCCCGGCGTCCGTATCTTGACCGAGCTGATGAGTAGCTCGAGCTACATGGGACGCATGGCTGGCCCAGATCTCGATCTCAAGATCCGACTCAAAACGCACCGAATCGACAGTGGGCGTAGGTCGCATGGACGTGCCACGGGATGTGCCAGGGGTGCAGATGCATAAGGGGGCCTCGCAGGGAATTTTAAGGGGACGTGCTATAGACGTGCCAGGGACCTGCCACGGACCGTGCCAAGGGGCGTGCCAGGGGGCATGGAAGAGGACGTCTTGCAGGGAGACGTTCCAAAGGACGTGGCAGGAAGCGTGCGAGGGAACGACGCGCCAGGAGACGCGCCACGGAACGGGCAGAGGAAGCGCCAGAGGACGAGCCAGGGAACGCGCCAGCGGACGCTCTGGGGAGCGTGCCACGGGCCGCGCCAGTGGGCGTGCCAAGGGGGACGTGCCAAGGGGGACGTGCCAAGGGGGACGCGCCAGGGGACGCGCCGCGGACGAGCCAAGGGACGTGTAAGCCAGTGGACGCGCCAGGGGACGACTCACTCTGCTCCGGTAGTCTGCTCCGCGGGATCCGCGCTTTCAGGGCCACGGCCCCTCGTAGATTGGACCGGAGCCGCGCTCCAGGAGCCACGATCCCTTGTGAGTTACGCTGGGTCCGAGTTCCCAGCGCCAGCAGCCTGCGTCCGCGCTCCCAGGGCCAAGATTCCTTATGCATTGCTTGGCATCGCTCGAGCGTGTGCATTTTTTTCTTCGGCGAGGGCCATCGAGGAGCATCCTTGGTCATTTCGCGAGAAAACCGCGCACGAAACCGGAAAAAAACACAGGAAATGGACGTCCGAGCGATGGCCAGATTACGCTGCACCCATGCTCCAAGAGCCACTATTCTGGAATTTACGCTGCGTGCGCTGGGTCCTCGCTCCGAGGGCAGCGATCCGTATTCATCATGTTGCGTCGACGCTCCCAGGGCCCCGATCCCTCTTGCAAAATCCGCAGGGCCCGCACTCCCAGGGTCTCCTGGGTCGTCCAGTTGCTTCCAGGGACCCTCCGGGGCGTTATTCGTGAAGGACTCCGAGCGCGGGGCGCGACCCATCATCAAGCGGGTCTGCGAGGAAATGAATGGTCCAACACGTTTTGTTCAATGTCTCTCGCTTTCAGCGCACCTCCTTTGAAGGATTTGGGCACCACTGCATTCTTGCCCTCTTCGGGCTGTCCTGAACCACTTTCGACGGCGGCCAGCCCCGCTCGAAAAGTGTCGGCATGGCCTTCCAATGGGCTTGCATCCTTATCGCGAATCTACATCATCAGTTTTGAGTGTAATTCTTCAGGAGGGGAAAACACAGACACAATTAATCGTCGACTCCCCAGAAAATATGGTTAAATATGGGAAATTAGGGGAAAAGACGATGACCCCGAAAATATGGAAACATATTGGGGATCCTGGGATGTGTGTGTGTGTATTTATTTGTGTGTCCCTGGGCCCCTCGAATTCTGTTATTTTGGCGTGCTGAGAACGAGTCCCGAGGGCCCTCGAGGCCCTCTAAAGGCCCTGGTGCCGTCAAACAGCCACGCATGAGGAATATTTGATTCCCGGGAAAGCTTGGTTTTCGAGCCCGTTTCTCCTCCTCCTTCTCCTCCTCCTCCTCCTGCTCCTCATCCCTCCTCCTGCTCTTCCTCCTCCGTCGCTCCTCCTCCTCTCCTCCTTCTCCTCCTCCTCCTCCTCCTCCTCCTCCTCCTCTTTCTCCTCCTTCTCCTCCTTTCTTCTCCTCCTCCTCCTCCTCCTCCTCCTCCTCCTCCTCCTCCTCCTCCTCCTCCTCCCCTTCCTCCTCTGAAGATCTCCGTTTTTTTCATGCTAATGTACGGGGATGGTATCCAGCTGCCTCCGGCGATCCCGCCACCGGGCCAGCACAGCATTCTGGGTGGCAACTGTTTCGTGTTCCCGCTCTTTGGCCCTTCTTGGGGCCGTCTTGGGGCCCTCTCGGGCAGTCATGGACGCCACTTGGGCCGTCGGGGAGCCCTCTGGGGCCGTCTTGGAGCTCTTTTGGGGGCCTCTTGAGCATGCGGGGGTGCCTCTTGGGCCGTCTTGAAGCCCTCTTGGGCCGTATTGGGGCCTTCTTGGGGGCCTCTTGGGCCGTCTTTGGGCAGTCCTGATGGCCTCTTGGGTCGTCTTGGGACGTCGGAAGCTTGAAAAGGCGGGAACCCGAAACACACAGAAGCACCTAAGGAACGTCCGTGATGTTTGCCTCTCAAGGCTCTCTTGCAATGGCTCTTCCGGCTCTCCTGGGAAGCCTCAACGGCCACGTTGGCAGTCTTGACGCCGTATTTGGCCGTCTTGAGGCCAACGTGGCCCGTCTTGGAGCGGTATTGGGCTGTCTTGGAGGCATCTGGGGGTCGAGGGCGCGAATCTGTCATATTCTGCAATTGATTACCATGCTCCCAGTTTGAGCATTCTTCGCGCCAGATCGATCTGTCATAGCCCTGGAGCGCGAAGCCCGACGAACACTCCCACGGTGAAACATATGCAGCGCCCAGGCCTCGGGGAGAGTCCTGAGTTGTGCAGTGGTCCTTGGAAGTCCCAACCGGTTCCCCAGGGCCAGCTTCTTGTCCCGAGCCGTTGTTAGATGATCCTCGGGCCCAGCGAGGACGCCCAGGGGCCGAATCAGGACGAACACCTCCCTTCGGACGGACTTGTTGGAGCCGGTGGCGTCCCCTGGAATGATAAGGTCGGGCCTGTCCCTCTACAGGAGGAATATTCACAAATAGTCAAAAAGTAGTCAGGGGACGATTATTTTATAGTATTTTGAATATGTTTGGGGTAAGTTTGGGGTATGTCTAATTCTTCACGCTTCGCGTATCCCCACCAGCCCATCTCAGAACAGCAACTCTTGCGAAGCATGCCGACAGTCGTGTTTTTCAGGCGTGTTTCCGCCTGCCCCCGCATATCTCCCCTGTTCCTCCTTCCTCCCGCCTCCTTGTACATCCTCCTTGTGGTGGGAGCGGGAGAAGGACGAGGCGGAGGAGGAGGGAGAGAAAGCGCTCCTCGTGGTTTGAGTCGTTGGGGTTTCTCGTCCTGGTGTGAGTCGTTCGGGCCCTTCTTCCTGGTGTGAGTCGTTCGGGCTCTTCGTGGTGTGAGTCGTTCGGGCTCTTCGTCCTGGTGTGAGTCGTTCGGGCTTCTCGTGGTGTGAGTTGTTCGGGCCCCTCGTCCTGGTGTGAGTCGTTCGGGCCCCTCCTCCTGGTGTGACTCGTTCGGGCTCCTCGTGGTGTGAGTCGTTCGGGGCCCTCGTCGTGGTGTGAGTCGTTCGGGCTCCTCGTGGTGTGAGTCGTTCGGGCGCCTCGTCCTGGTGTGAGTCGTTCGGGCCCCTCCTTCTGGTGTGAGTCGTTCGGGCTCTTCGTGGTGTGAGTCGTTCGGGCCCCTCGTCCTGGTGTGAGTCGTTCGGGCTCCTCGTGGCGTGAGGCGTTCGGGCACCTCGTCCCCTTTTGGGGCGTCTTGGGGGCCTCTTGGCGGCCCCAGGGGCTTCTAGGAGCGTCTTGGGTGCCTTGGGGGAGCCTCTTCGGGCCTCTTGGGAGCCTCTTGGAGGCCGTTTGGGGCGTCTTGGGGGCCTCTTGGCGGCCCCAGGGGCTTCCAGGAGCGTCTTGGGTGCCTCGGGGGAGCCTCTTGGGGCCTCTTGGGGGCCTCTTGGGGGCATCTTGGGGGCCTCTTGGAGGCCTCTTGGGGGCCTCCTGGGGGCCTCTTGGGGCCATCTTGGGGCCTCTTGGTGCCTCCTGGGCGCTTCTTGGGGCCATCTTGGAGGAAATCGATCAAAGAAGAGGGAAGCTTTAATTAGCGCTGCCCCCTCAGAAAGGCAAAATGGGGCCAAAACCTTCGTAAAATCAATGATTTTGGCTTGAAAGAAGAGGGGAGCTTTAATTCTTCACGCTTCGCGTATCCCCACCAGCCCATCTCAAAAGAGCAACTCTAGCGAAGCATGCCGACAGTCGTGTTCTTCAGGCGTGTTTCCGCCTGCCCCCGCATATCTCCCCTGTTCCTCATTCCTCCCGCCTCCTTGTACATCCTCCTTGTGGTGGGAGCGGGAGAAGGACGAGGCGGAGGAGGAGGGAGAGAAAGCGCTCCTCGTGGTTTGAGTCGTTCGGGCTTCTCGTCCTGGTGTGAGTCGTTCGGGCCCTTCTTCCTGGTGTGAGTCGTTCGGGCTCTTCGTGGTGTGAGTCGTTCGGGCTCTTCGTCCTGGTGTGAGTCGTTCGGGCTTCTCGTGGTGTGAGTTGTTCGGGCCCCTCGTCCTGGTGTGAGTCGTTCGGGCCCCTCCTCCTGCCCGTCCAGAAACGACGCCCAGGCGAGTAGAGGGTCGTCTGATGGGCTTTTCGGCGTCTTGGGTGCCTCGGGAGGGGGGGCCTCTCTGGGCCGTTTGGGATCCTCTTGGGGGCTTGAAAGAAGAGGGGAGCTTTGATTAGCGCTGCCCCCTCAGAAGGCCAAAATGGGGCCAACACCGTAGTAAAATCAATGATTTTGGCTTCAAAGAAGAGGAGAGCATTTTTTCTCCCTCCCCCCGTCGGGGCCAGAATCCTCGTGAGGGGTGTCGTTTTTTAGCCCTCCCAGGAGTCGAAAAGACCCCTCTGACCACCCGCGGAAGGACCTCTCCAGGCCCAGGGGGAGGGGGTAGGGGGAGGGGTAAACCCCTCCCCGAAGGGGAAGAAGGGGGGTTGAGAACAGAGAGAGCTCCCTAAACCACTCACGCCCAAAGGGCTGGTGGGATTTTTCGCCCCAAATCCCCCTGTAGGGGGACACGCCCGAGCTCAGTCTGGACAGATTTGGAGCCTGTGACGCCCCCTGGCAGCACCCAGCACATTGTCTTCCTTTGCGGTGCGGTTCTCAGCAGGTGGGGAGGGACAAAAACGGCACAAACATTAAGTCGGGCACGTCCCTCTACAGGAGGAATATGCAAACATAGTCAAAACATACTCGGTGGATCTGTTTTGAATATGTTTGACCATTTGGGGGCACGGTTCGATTATTTGTTGTTTGTCGTCCAAAATCCGCATTTAGGGGAACATGCCCGACCTAACACAAACATTGATAAACGCTGCTTTGCAGCAGAGCGTCGAGAAGCGCAGGAAGTGAAGGATAAGCGGACAATCCAGGGCACGTGAATGTCAATCGATGTAACTGTGTATATCTACACGTACACCTAGGCCTCGACAGCACGTACACCTAGGCCTCGACAGCAGGTGTAATGCAGTTTGCTTGTGTCTGCCTAGGCCCCGACAGCAGGAGCTCGGCGCGGGCGGCCCGGCCGGGGACGTCGCCGAGGAAGACCTCGGGCACTGGCTCAGGCTGAGGCCCTCGGAGAATCAGTGGAGAAACAGCTGCGTGGACATGAATTCTCGCCGCTCCGCGTGGATTTCTTCGATCTGCGCTGCCCCCGCCGCCGCCCCTGGAGGCCCCCCTGGCGGTTCCTCTGGCGCGGCCCCTGGCGTGCTCCGCGCGCCAGAGAGGGAGTCCAGCGCCGATCCAAGAAATTAGCGCGCACCTCCGAAAGTGTATGTTTGTGCAGTTTGTTGATCCCGCCCGACAAAAAATAAACCTCGAGATCCGGGCGTTGCAACTTTTTCGCACTGTATTTGTTCGCGCAGTCTCAGGCCCCGGGGTCCTCACAGATCGATGCGGCCCCAAGAATGCAGCAGAACGATGTGGTCCAGGGCTCTTGTCGCCATTGTTTACTATGGTTCATTTTTTCGCGACGTCGGCCTTCGGGTGTCATAACTATCGGGTCTGGAAAGGCTTTGGGTTGCGCACAGACTGCCACCCCGATTGGTAGTCCCAGCTGGCCTCAACAGGTTCCCCGAGTACCTGAGCCTCCTTGATGAGGTAGCTAGGGTCGGAGGTTCGCGCCGCATGCATCGCCGATGGATTGGCGATGCGGTACAATCATTCGACCCCAACTACTCGGACCCCACTTGGGAGGCCCAGAGGAGGAGGAGAAGGAGGAGGAGGAGAAGGAGGAGTAGGAGGAGAGGAGGAGGAGGAGGAGGAGGAGGAGGAGGAGGAGGAGGAGGAGGAGGAGAGGGAAAAGGAGGAGGATGAGGATGAAGAGGAGGAGGAGGAGGAGGAGGAGAAGGAAGAGGAGGAGGAGGAGAAGGAGGAGGAGGAGGAGGGCACAGTGTGCTGGGCCGATCTCAACACCCTGGCGCCGCCTCTGGCGGCGCACCTGTGTCGCTCCGCACCCTGCGGGCAGAGGCCCCGGGGTCCTCGGGGTGCCTGCCGAGGCCAGCCGGGATTGATTGCCCGGCCCGCCTCTGGTGGCGGCCGAGTTGTGCGTCAAGCTGTGGTCAAACAGTGTTCTGAGAACCTTTTGTGGTTTCAACGAAATGTTCTTAGAACACTTCTGGCGGAGCCTATCTTGGTTTAATTCATCGGGTTAATGTTCTAAGAACACTGTTTTTGTTCTTAGAACATATTTTGGTTCTAAGAACACTTCGTGGTAGGACTATGGGAATGCCGGGACGGTCGGTCCCTGCTCAAGTGCGGGCAGCCGTTTGATCAGCCGCGGTGTGTGGGCGGCGCGCTGTGGTGGCAGCCGCGTTGCTGTGTTAGGGGGCCACGTGCGAACCCTACCCATACAGTCGGGGCGTTGACCTGAGGAACGATACATAAGGAACGAGGCCCCTTTTTTGTCCCTGAAGTTTGACTTCGATTTCCAATAGAAAACCGAAAGTAAACCTAAGGCGACAGTAAAATGACTAACACGGAGCCCCTCCCAGGCGAAAAGGCTTCCTTCTTCAGCGCCCCGACTGTACCCCCCACGATTTCTGAGGGGGAGGGTGGGGTTCACTTCGCTCGGGAGCAATGGTCTGTGCTCCACCCGAACCCTTCTACCAATCGGGCCCTCAAGTCTTCGGCCGTCTTCGGGCTCCTGGCCCCCGGGAGCGACGGAGCGCGTTCCAGGACGGAGAAGTTGCTGGGGAAGGCCTCGGGGTCCGGGGCCCGCTTCCCTTGTATAATTTTTTCTTGTTGTAAGAGCAGGAGCTTTCGGAAGGTCCGCGCGCATTTCTTTGCTCGGGGCTGGACCTCCCTCCCTGGCCCGCGTGGCGCGCCAGGGGCAGCACCAGAGGCGCCGCCACGGGGCTCAGCGCCGATGCAAGGGCTTCGCGCGGCTCTCCGACGGTGTATGCTTGCCCTGGCTTCTGTTCCTGCGTAGGCTCGGTTTCGGCATCGCCCGTGCGCTGCGCTACCTTCACTCCCACGGCCCCGTCATCTAGCACTGCGACTTCAAGGACTCCAACTTGTTCGTGGAAGACTGACGCGACGCCCCCCCCCCAACCCGAAGATTCTCGACGTCGGGTCCTTCCGGCGAGTCACGCGCAGCGCGAAGCCGCTCGGGGGCACGTTGCGGTGGATGATCCCGGACGTGTTTTCGAGCTTCGGTCGCTTCCCACACAAGGCTGCGGGCGTGGTCTCGTCTGGCAATATGATGTCTCTCAAGGTGACCAGCCGCTTTCCTCTGAGGGGGTGTCCCGGCAGGAAGCTCTGCAGTTGCCAGTGGCGGTCCCGCAACCATGCCAGCGCAGTACTCCGCGGAGCGACCTTTCGAGCACCGCCGAGAAGGCCTCGCGTGTGTGACACTTGTCTTCTTCTCACAAGGACGAGGAGGGACATTAAGAAGATGAGAGAAGGAGATCGAGGAGGATGAGGCGGATCTTGCGCAAGAAGGGGAAAGGAGGGGGGGAGCTGAAGAAAAAAAGAGTAACGTAGTACCCCGCAATTGCGGATAAGAATGAGGGGGCGGGCGCGGGCGACGCGGGCGTCGAGCCGGCGGACCTCATGGCCCTCACCTTCCCTGTCGATGGCGCCCTCCCTCCTCCTCCTCCTCCTCCTCCTCCTCCTCCTGCTCCTCCTCCTCCTCCTCCTCCTCCTTCTCCTCCTCCTCCTCCTCCTCCTCCTCCTCTCTCGTCCGCGTCCTCGTCCTCGTCGTCGTCGTCGTCGTCGTGGTCGTCGTCCGCCTCCTCCACCACCTCCTCCTCCTCCTTTTCCTCCTTCTCCTTCTCCTCCTCCTTTTCCTCCTCCTCCTCCTCCTCCTCCTCCTCCTCCTCTTCCTCCTCTTTCTCCACATTCTCCTTACCTCCTCTCTTCTTCCGCGTCCTCCTCGTCCCCTGTTTACTCCTCTGCCTCGCCCTTTTTTCTCAAGATAGCAGCAAACCTATACTTTGTTCCACTGGATGCTCCCCGACTACTCTGATCCAGGCAAGCCGACAGGGTAAAGTTGCTGGATGGGCTGGTGTGGATGAGCGGAGCTTGAAGAGGTCTTGGGGGGCTCAGGCGGCATGCAAAATCCGCCGCCGCGCTTGTGCGGCACTGGCGTGCTGTGTGGTAGGGTTCGTGGACGCCCCCCTTTTCAGGAGGGTCCTGGAGCGCCCCGAGGCCCCTTAATTGTGGGCGCCTTGAGGCAGCTCCCCCTGAATCCAGGCTTTGGGCACGGATGCCGATTTGCAGCAGGCAGCTGGATTGCAACGCGCGTGTTCAGACACAGCCCCGACGCAGGCGCCGATGTGTTGTTGTAGAGTCAACGTGGACCGGATCGAGACATGGCACGAGGGCGCTTTCCCAGACCAAGGCGAGCAAGCCCGCCGCAGGCGCCGATCTGCGTGCTCTGACAAGCTCAGCGCGGGGGGGATCGCTGGTGGGCCACCTGGAACGCAGGCAAAACCAGCCCGCCGCAGGCGCCGAAATTTTGGTTTGTTCGGTGAACGTAGTTTCGGTCGCGGGTGGGTCGCGGGCTCGCCACCTCAACCTGGAGAAAATTCAGAAACAGCCCGCCACATGCGCCGAAAATTTTGATTTGTACGCTGAACGCGATTTGGATCGCAGGTTCTCGAACTGGAACGAATGCAAAAGAAGCCCGCCGCAGGCGCCGAACATTTTGGGTGGGTCGCGTGTGGGTCGCGGGTGGGTCGCGGTGGTTCGCGGGTGTGTCGCTGGCGGGTTTCGGGTGGGTCGCCGGGGGGGTCTCGCGGTGGGTCGCGGGCGGGTCGCGGCAGATGTGTCGCGGGGTGGGTCGCGGGTGGATCGCGGGGTGGGTCGCGGGTGGGTCGCGGGTGGGTCGCGGGTCGGGTCGCGGGTGGGACGACGACAACAACAATCAACAAACAATACGCAACAAACAACAACAATAATCCGCATCGCGGAATTCCACTTCAGCCACGCACCTAGGGACAGTGACGGTCGGCTCAGCCCCTTTCATTTTGATAATAATAATAAGCTTGTCAAATATAAGAAGCAGACGAGTACTAATAATAATAATAATAATACTATGAAGGAGGAGGAAGCAGGGGAGGAGGAGGAAGAAGAGGAGGAGGAGGAGGAAGAGTAGAAAAAGAAAAACGAGGAGGGTGAGGAGGAGGAGGATTGGGAGGATTGGGAGGGGGAGGAAGAGGAGGAGGAGGAGGAGGAGGAGGAAGAGGAGGAGGAGGAAGAGGAGGAGGAGGAAGAGGAGGAGGAGGAGAAGGAGGAGGAGAAGGAGGAGGAGGAAGACCGTCACATGTGACAGTTATCGCCTGGATGAGCAGGCGAATCCGATATGACAAATGTCGCAAAGAAACGAATGACGATGATGATGATGATGAGGAGGAGGAGGAGGAGGAGGAGGAGAAGGAGGAGGAGAGAAGGAAAACGATGATGCGTGGGAGGAGGAGGATTGTCGTCACATGTGGCACTTGTCGCCCCCAAGGAGAGGAGGAGAAGGAGGAGGAGGAGGACCTGTTCGCCCTGCTCATTGAGCGAGGCGTAACGTGTCACGTGCCGTGTCTCTTTTTCTTTTTCGTCTTCTTCTTTTTCTTCTTCTCATTATTATTCTTCTTTTTCTTCTTCTTCTTCTTCATTGTCGTCTTCCTTTTCTTTTCTTTTCCCCCCTTTGGAGCCTCCCGGGGGCCTCTTGAGGGGCCTCTTGGAGGCCTCTTGCCGAACCTCTTGTGGGGCCCGTGGACCCTCTGAGGGCGCTCGTGGGCCGTCTGACGCCGTCGGGGTCAGCTTTCGGGGTCTGTCTGGGCCGCGCTGGTGACCTTTAGGGCCGTCTTGGGCGTATCGCGGCCCGTCTTGGGGCCCTGTGGGGGTGGACCCCGTCGCGATGATGACCAGGCGCAGAGCGTGCCCTCGCTCGGCGGCGCGCCGTGGGGGGGGAGTGAGAGGTTCGAGAGTTTCGGACGTCTTCGTTGGTTCTCGACGGTTTTCCGGCCTCGGGATTCTCGCCAGCAGCTGCGCCTCGCCGGAGGCGTTCCGGGGGTGCCGGGATCGTCCCGAACGGCGGCCGGAGACCCGAGCTATGACCCAAAAGCCACATTCGGCGGCGCGCCGTGGGGGGGAAGTGAGAAGGAGCAGGCCTTTGGAGCCGTCTTGGGCTGACGGAAGCTCGAAAAGGCGACAGTGCGGACATCAATCCGGCACAAAAGGATTACGAATCTGGACATCTCCAGGCCCTCAGGTACTAGTCGTCTTGCAGCCTTCTGGGGCCGCATTGGGAGCCTCTTTTGGCCGCATCGGGAGCCGAGAGGAGGGGTCTGGCTCCAGACCTTTGTTTCGTGCGACTGTTTGCAGCAGTGCGCCTCATGGGGGAGACTCCACCTGCTCGAAACAGGTGCCAAACACAGCCAAGATCTGCCTCATGGGGGGGGAGGGGGGTGCGAGGGCCCGCGCCGATCGGCAAAACAGTGAACTGGACAACGATCACATTCTACTACGCCTCAACATGTCAGGAGGCACGGTGGCGGATTGAGCTGGCTTATGCCTCCCCCTCCTCGGCCAACACTTCTCACCTCGACTTTGTGTAACAGGGGATCCGTGATGTCATCAGTGCGAGCTGCTGTTTATTGGCACGGCGCGCTGCGAAGCCTAGAGGATGTACAGAGGCATCTTACCTGCAGGGCATGCTGCGAAATTCAGCAGGGCACGGCTGTAGAGGGACATTGCGCGAGTTGCAAGTTGTCGATCTTGGTTGGTGATAACGTCAGTGTGGCATGCAGTTTGTGCGGTGGGGATGGGGAGCAGTGGCACGAGTCTTCGGATTCATCCATATGACGTTCTCTAAGAGCTCTCATGACGCATTCGGATTCCGCGATGAAAATCTGAAGGCCGCCCGCAGAGGAGTTTGAGCGGCCTTCCAGTCGGGATTCAGATGGCAAGGCTTGCGCTGTGGCTCAGAGGCCAGCTGGAGGCTTGTACGTGAGCAGCGTCTTCGCGAAGAACAATCTCCGATGGGTCGTTCTGCTTGCACGTCTTTTGCCGTAGACGCGCTAACGGTGTGTTAGCTAACGGCGATGGAGGAAAACCAATTGTAGGAAGGCGTGGTTCGTGGCCAAACCAATTCTAGGACCGCGTGGTTCGTGTTTTTCGACAATTCGCTGCGTCGTTCTCGTTCGATGCATTCGCACATCTGAAATGTAGGAAAGTTTGTTCTGCGTGAGTTCGGTGTCACAAAGACCAGATTCCCAACATCGCCGTTAAGCAACATCGCTGTTAGCGCGGCCTTGGGGGCTAGTTTTTCGCAGAATTCGCTATCTTAGTCGCTTTGACGCGCATGCGTTCCGCAGCTTTTTGCATGGCGCTGCGGCCACGCGCAGGTCCCAGAGGGCCGAGGGGCGGTGGGAGCGAGGGGGTGACGAGAAGGACGGCACCCTGGCGGGGCGCCGAAGGGGGTCGGCGGCCGACAGGTTCTGTCCTAGGCCGCGCTCCTTCGACTACGACAAAAACCATACAAACATAAACTTTTGGCGCTCCGTGCGGATTTCTTGGATCCGCGCCTGGGCCCCTTGTTTTTGTGTGTTTTTCCTTTTCTACTCCTGGCAGAAGCGGGTTTTCTTGGGGACAGGCGCCAGCCGTGCTGCCGTTCTTCCTTCAGAGGTCTAAGCTTTGTGCGCGGAACGTTCGCCAAGCGGAGCCGTGTGCTCAGATGAGCTGGCGGTGTTTATAGCGGTTCACGAGATCTTCGCACCGCTCCGTTCTCGGTTGCGACCCAACCGCACCACGGCCGGGCTGGTTCGTGCCTCTACATTTGGATATTGCGTGGCCACCCGCACGAGAATTTGCAAGAACATGGCCCAAGTGGTCGTCGATGTTCAGCCATTGAGCGCTTTCACCTGGAAAGCAGCAAGGCTTTCTGTTGGAGGCCTTCTCGATGAGGACAACCATACGCGCCAAGGTACGCTTGAAGAGGTATGCGTGCACAGGGTTGCGCGCCTAGTCCTGCCGCTGGATTGACAGCTATCGCAACGCGTTTGTGATGGCACAGGCCTCAGTCGAGACACCTGATAACCAGAGGTCGGGAAAGGAGAAGCGACACCACCACCACCACTACCACCGCCAGCATCAGGGAGGCCACCTCCAGCGAAGAAGTCTACGATGTCTCCCCGAGCCGGTGAGAGAGGATGTCTCGAGCGAGCGGGGGGACCATACCACCAGGGGCCTTCCCCCTGGCTCCTCCCGAACGGGTCCCTGCTGGTGGTGGTGTCTCTTTTCTCCTTGTTCCCATTATCGAGTCACAAGATTCCCAGGCGATCGTTTTCTTATTCATTGTTTTGCCGATCGGCGCAGGCCCTCGTCCCCCCCCCTCCCCGTGGAGTAGATCTTGGCTGCTTTTGGCGCCCGTTGTAAAACAGAGGATGCACTGCTGCAAACAGTCGCATTAAGCAGAGGTCCGGCAGTCGCATCAAGCAGAGGTCCAGAGCCAGACCCCCCCCCCCTTTTGGGACCCTCGGCCAACGAAGACGTCCCTGGAGGAGGGTCCAACGAGGACGTCCCCAGAGGAGGGCACAACTTCCCGTGATGGCGCCAATTGCCACCCGGGCTGTTTCCCCCCCCCTCCCCCTGTCGGCCCAATGTCAGGAGGGAAAAAAACACACAGACACAATTAATTCTCGATTCCCCAGAAAATATAGGAAAATATGGGAAGTGGGGGGGAAGACGAAAACCCAGAAATTACGCTACCGAGGAACCCCACATACTGATTTTTAATCTTATGTGTTTGCTTGTCATTATCATCTATGCGCAATGCTGCGTTCTAAACCCTCGTCGCGAATCGTCGTCGTACTTGTCGTACTCGTTGTCGTACTCGTCGTACTCGTCGTCGTACTCGTTGCCGCTCTATCGTCTTACTCGTCATCGTACTCGTCGTCGTACCTCGCCGTCGTACTCGTCTTCGCATTCGTCGTCGTGCTCGTCGCACTCGTCGTCGCACTCGTCGTCGTCGCACTCGACGTCGTCGTACTCGTTGTGTTGGTAGTGCTCGTTGTATTCGTCGCCGCACTCGTGGTCGTCGTCGTCCTCCTCCTCCTCTCCTCGTCCTCCTCCTCCTCGTCCCACCCCATCCTGTCAACTCCTCCGCACTCCTCTCAATTCCTCCGCACTTCCCTCAACTCCTCCGCACTCCTCTCAACTCATCCTCTCATATCCTTTTGTACTCCTCCTTCTGCACTCCTCCGCACTCCTCTCAACTCCTCCGCGCTCCTCTGAACACCTCCGCACTCCTCTCAAATCCTCTTCCTCACAACTCCTCCGCACTCCTCTCAACTCCTCCTCCTCGCACGGCGGCGCTGCAAAGTGCCACGCCTGCTATGCCTGGACGACCGGCGCGTATAGCAGCCGCGCGCTCAGGGACCACCCCCTGCGCACCCCCTCTGGTGTCGAGAAAGTGCCACGCCTGCTATGCCTGGACGACCGGCGCGTATAGCAGCCGCGCTCGGGGACCACCCCCTGCGCACCCCCTCTGGTGTCGAGAAAGTGCCACGCCTGCTATGCCTGGACGACCGGCGCGTATAGCAGCCGCGCTCAGGGACCACCCCCTGCGCACCCCCTATGGTGTCGAGAAAGTGCCACGCCTGCTATGCCTGGACGACCGGCGCGTATAGAGACCGCAGCGAGAGACCACCCCCTGCGCACCCCCTATGGTGTCGAGAAAGTGCCACGCCTGCTATGCTATGCCAGGACGACCGGCGCGTATAGAGACCGCAGCGAGAGACCACCCCCTGCGCACCCCCTATGGTGTCGAGAAAGTGCCACGCCTGCTATGCCTGGACGACCGGCGCGTATAGAGACCGCACGAGAGACCACCCCCTGCGCACCCCCTATGGTGTCGAGAAAGTGCCACGCCTGCTATGCCTGGACGACCGGCGCGTATAGAGACCGCAGCGAGAGACCACCCCCTGCGCACCCCCTTATGGTGTCGAGAAAGTGCCACGCCTGCTATGCCTGGACGACCGGCGCGTATAGAGACCGCAGCGAGAGACCACCCCCTGCGCACCCCCTATGGTGTCGAGAAAGTGCCACGCCTGCTATGCCAGGACGACCGGCGCGTATAGAGACCGCAGCGAGAGACCACCCCCTGCGCACCCCCTATGGTGTCGAGAAAGTGCCACGCCTGCTATGCCTGGACGACCGGCGCGTATAGAGACCGCAGCGAGAGACCACCCCCTGCGCACCCCCTATGGTGTCGAGAAAGTGCCACGCCTGCTATGCCTGGACGACCGGCGCGTATAGAGACCGCAGCGAGAGACCACCCCCTGCGCACCCCCTATGGTGTCGAGAAAGTGCCACGCCTGCTATGCCTGGACGACCAGCGCGTATAGAGACCGCAGCGAGAGACCACCCCCTGCGCACCCCTATGGTGTCGAGAAAGTGCCACGCCTGCTATGCCTGGACGACCGGCGCGTATAGAGACCGCAGCGAGAGACCACCCCCTGCGCACCCCCTATGGTGTCGAGAAAGTGCCACGCCTGCTATGCCTGGACGACCGGCGCGTATAGAGACCGCAGCGAGAGACCACCCCCTGCGCACCCCCTATGGTGTCGAGAAAGTGCCACGCCTGCTATGCCTGGACGACCGGCGCGTATAGAGACCGCAGCGAGAGACCACCCCCTGCGCACCCCCTATGGTGTCGAGAAAGTGCCACGCCTGCTATGCCTGGACGACCGGCGCGTATAGAGACCGCAGCGAGAAACCACCCCCTGCGCACCCCCTATGGTGTCGAGAAAGTGCCACGCCTGCTATGCCAGGACGACTGGGGCCACGCCTGCTATAGCAGGACGACTGGGGCGTATAGAGACCGCAGCGAGAGACCACCCCCTGCGCACCCCCTATGGTGTCGAGAAAGTGCCACGCCTGCTATGCCAGGACTGGTGTCGTCTTGTGTGTGCGAGTGTGTGCATGCGTGCGGCTGTATGTAGACGCGTGTCGCCGAGACGTGCTGTGCTGTGCTCTGCTGAGCTGTGCTGTGCTGTCCTATGCTGTGCTGCGGTCTGCTGTGCTGTGCTGCGCTGTGCTGAGGAGGAGGAGGAGGAGGAGGAGGAGGAGGAGGAGGAGGAGGAGGAGGAGGAGGAGGAGGAGGAGGGGAGGAGGGCGGGTGTGGGGGAGACGCGGGCGCGGCGCGGCAGGGAAGAAAACCAGAACCCCACGAAGCATGTGGGGAAATATATGAAAATATGGGGAACATTTCTATTTGTGTGTATTCATTTGTGTGTCCTGGGGCGAAACGCCGAGCAAGAAAACGCCCACGGGCAGCGGGCGAGGGCGGCGCGCGACAGCCCCCCCGCCCCCCGCCTCCTGCCGCGAGGGGAGCGCGATGGCCAGGCAATCGCCAGGGAGGCGCTTCTGGCCGGCCGCGCGCGCGGCCGCGCGCGCGGGGCCAGGGAGGGGGGATCAAGCAGTGGCGAAGCGATCTGGCGTGCCTATAGGCATACCGAACAATGTTCTAAAAAACTGGTTGTGGTTTCCACGACACGTGCTCAGAACATCCCTGGCTGGGACTGTCTTGTTTTGACACATCAGCTCTATGTTTTCAGAACATTCTTTTCGTTCTTAGAGCATTTCTGGGTTCTAACAAGATTTCGTGGTAGGCCTATGGGAGTGCCGGGACGGTCGGTCCCTGCTCAAGGGGAGCTTCCCAGTCCTCTCCCTTCGACCACCTTGCGCCCTCCCCGCTCGCCTGCGTCGATCCTTCCTCTCCCCCTTGTCCCTCCCGCTGCCTCGATCGTTCCCGTCTCTCGATGGCCCCCCTCCTGACCCCTCCCCCCTCCCTCGATGCGATCGGTACTTAGCCCGGGAAAATAGGACATTCCCCGGGAAAAACGAACATTCCCCGGTAACACCGGGGAATGTACGATTCCTGCGGCGCTTCTTTTGCGAATGTTTCGAGCGGGGTCGGGCTGCAGAGTCTTCGAAAGCCAACTGGTTGGCTTACGTGTGACCATTCGGTTTCCGAAAAAACATACCGCGGAATGTCTGATCTCGGTGTGCTCGCGCGTTGTAGTACTGGTATTGGTAATGGTGGTGGAAATGGTAGTGGTAATGGTTGTGGTAGTGGACGTGGTAGTGGTAGTGTGAGTGGTAGTGGTAGTAGTAGTGGTAGTAGTAGTAGTGGTAGTAGTACTGGTAGTAGTAGTAGTAGTACTACTACTACTACTACTACTACTACTGGAGTAGCAGTAGTAGTAGTAGTAGTAGTAGTAGTAGTAGTAGTAGTAGGAGTAGTAGTAGAAGTAGTAGTAGTCAGAGTAGTAGTAGTAGTAGTAGTAGTAGTAGTCGTCGTAGTAGTAGTAGTAGTAGTCGTAGTAGTAGTAGTAGTAGTAGTAGTAGTAGTAGTAGTAGTAGTAGTAGTAGTAGTCGTAGTCGTAGTCGTAGTCGTAGTCGTAGTCGTAGTAGTAGTAGTAGTAGTAGTAGTCGTAGTCGTAGTAGTAGTAGTAGTAGTAGTAGTAGTAGTAGTAGTAGTAGTAGTAGTAGTAGTAGTAGTAGTCAGTAGTAGTAGTAGTCGTAGTAGTCGTAGTCGTAGTCGTAGTCGTAGTAGTAGTAGTAGTAGTAGTAGTAGTAGTAGTAGTAGTAGTAGTAGTAGTAGTAGTAGTAGTAGTAGTGTAGTAGTAGTAGTAGTAGTAGTAGTAGCTAGGAGGTAGGCGTAGTAGTAGCAGGGGTAGCAGTTAGTAGTAGTAGTAGTAGTAGTAGTATAGTAGTAGTAGTAGTAGTAGTAGTGGTAGTAGTAGTGTAGTAGTAGTGTTAATAGTAGTAGTAGTAGTAGTAGTAGTAGTATAGTAGTAGTAGTATTGGCAGTAGTAGTAAAATTAGTAGTAGTAGTAGCAGCAGTAGTACCAGTATTAGCAGTAGTAGCTGTAGTAGTAGTAGTAGTAGTATAGTAGTAAGTAGTAGTAGTAGTAGTAGTAGTAGTAGTAGTAGTGTAGTAGTAGTAGTAGTAGAGGTAGTAGAGTAGTAGTAGTTAGTAGTAGTAGTAGTAGTAGTAGGCAGTAGTAGTA